CTGCGGTCTTTAAAGAGCATCGCGATATGTCAGTGAACTGCTTTGTATGGAAGGCGTATTGCGGTCTGTTGATTATGTTGTCAAATCTAGATACACAAATTACGACAAGACGTAGGACCACGATATAGAATTTGAAACTTGAGACAAATATTTATTAATCTCCGTGTTTCTATCTTACAGCCTCTCGACTCAATGATTAACCTCAGTTTCTCTATCTGACAGCCTCTCGACTCAATGATTAACCTCAGTTTCTCTATCTGACAGCCTCTCGACTCAATGATTAACCTCAGTTTCTCTATCTGACAGCCTCGATTAACCTCAGTTTCTCTATCTGACAGCCTCTCGACTTATCTGACAGCCTCTCGACTCAATGATTAACCTCAGTTTCTCTATCTGACAGTCTCTCGACTCAATGATTAACCTCAGTTTCTCTATCTGACAGCCTCTCGACTCATTGTTTCCATGGACACCAGTGTTCACCCTTGCGATGACTTCTTTGAGTTTTCCTGCGGCAACTGGAATAGACTGAATACGATTCCAAACGACAGGGCCATTTACAACACTTTTACAAAGCTGGGAGACGACATCCAAACAATACTCAAAAGTAAGTCGACAACTCAACAACTTCTTACATGAACCAAAGCTTGCAGTGATAACATAAGTACACATATTTTTTTTAACAATCGAAAGACTATAATTACCATCCTTATCTCACAATGCTTATTTTAATTTAAGTACAAAAATATAGTTTGAACACATTGTCTCACCAATGTACGTGCAATGAAAATTGAATACAAGGTACTATCTCCAATGTTTATTGTGGCCGCCTGAAACCGCAACATATTGTTGTGTGAAGTGATTTCAAACAATATTGGCTTAGTAAGCTGAATTAATTATAAAACAAGCTTTTAAATGCACTGTCGATAGGAAAATAAAACTAATGTGCTTCTTTCAATGAAAGTTTCGGTCGCTCATGAGATCTTTTACTTATTTTATCAACCAAAGCTTGTATTAAAGAAAGCAAATGTGTTTTCTTATTGTCTGTACACTTTGAAGCTGCCCCGTCTCCCCGCCCTTGGCCGTTCTAGGGCGTGAAAGCAAGTCATCGACATAAGCCGATCATGCTTGTTATTTCCCCTTAGTTTCGAAATAGTTTAATTCATTTTTTATGCCTAATTTATCATCTAATTAATTTTTAAAAAATATATATTTATGAATTGCCATTGAAGAAATCGTGTATTTGGAAATTTAAAAAATTGGTCAAAATTGAGTGACAAGTTTTGCCACAAATCCACAAAGGGACGCTGTGTATTAAGTGAAAGCTTCTAATTTAAAAAGTCTAATAAATGCCTCTCAAAGTCTTCACCAACTTGACCAGTCTCTAGGATTAGAAATATTCAGCTTGACTCACAGCTCAGCAGACTGGTGATCTCATCTAGATAGTAGTCTCCCATTTTGTTATTGAATATAGTCATCTCTAAATTGCGCATTTCATTACATTGAAAGATCTATATTGTGGCATTGTCATCGAAGGAGAAAGTAACAGGAAAGTTTGAGCGAAATCGCTGCATTAGAAGTAGTCAAAATTGAGTTACAAGATTTTATACAAAGCCACCAACAAACCAGTTGTCATTGCGAGCTAAATAAAAGATTGTAAAAAGCGCCTTTGTTGAATGTAAACAGACGTTACCGCCGACATCAGTTAAGGGATACCTTTATGACGTCCACAAAAATGTTGAATTTTAGTCCCCCCCCCTTCCTCCGTCCACACGCGTCCATTTTCGCGTCCCTCCCCCCCCCCCCCCCCCATGTAGACGTCCACAAAAATGTAGAAGACCTCTGAAAATATGCAGCTAGATTACTTATGTCCTCAGAATTAGATGTTATGTCCCAAATAAACATATGTGTCTTGTACTCGAGGGATAGACGTGTTTAGTCCACAAGTTTTGTGTCTCGCTACTAACCTTGTGTTTACTCACTACGTTTACCCCAGGTCTACTTGAGCAGGAAATCCAACCCGAACTAGACAGTGAAGCCACTAAAAAAGTCAAGATCGTCTACAACTCTTGCCTCAATGAGAGTAAGCTGTTACTGCTTATATCTTGCTAGTAGTTAGGATCTAATTGTTGCTATGGTATATTTAGAATCTAAGTGATGCTATGCTATAGTCAGTTGCGTCGTGAGATCGGGTGTCAGACGGTGCAAGACCTCGCATGGTGTCACCCCTCCCAGAGGCGTAGAGAGGGCGGGGCGGGGTGCAGATCGCACCGGGTGACACCATTTGAGGGGGGGGGGGGTTGACACCGCGACAAAAATTGCAAAATGTACAGATAAACATCGTTACTAGTCTGCAGTGATTAAAGCTTCTACACATACATGTACACACACACACATACACGCGCACGCACGCATGCACGCACACACATACACACACACAAATATACTTTGTTTCTTGGGGGGTGTATGTATAATATATGTATGTATAATATATGTATGTATAATTTATATATATATATATATATATATATATATATATATATATATATATATATATATATATATATATATATATATATATATATATATATACAGGCCTATATAATAATATATAGTTGCATTTGGTAACATCCGCTCCCCATTTTGCCTAACATGGCGTTAATTTGTGGGCACAATCCAACTATTAACTTCATGTGGAAAAAGCATCGTTTTCATAGTAAGTCATTAGATTTTGGTGTCACCCTCCTCTACTGTCGTTGATTGCCTTATCTGTTATTAAAAATATTCGACAAGCCTTTATTCCTTTCTAAATTTTGCAGTTGGTTAAAGTGTGCACAGTTGATAGTAAAAATGGTTATCTGTAGTAAATAATTAATACAGGTGGATTCACTCTTATTAATCATTAATAGAACAGGCAAAAAGCATTTTTATTCTACATAGTTTGCAGTTTTTCACCCGGTGCGGTCCACCCCCACCAGCCTCCCCCCCCCCCCCCCCCCCTTGCGACGCCTCTGGCTATAGTTAGGATCTAATTGTACCTATCCCATAGTTAGGATCTAATTGTTGCTAACGTTGTAACCTTAATATTTGGAGGTGGAAGGTGCGATATTGTAGATCGGTTTCATGACAAATTATCTCAGACAAAATTTCTCATGGACATATAATTTGTCCTGAGATCATTTGTCCTGAGATCATTTGTCTGTGCGAAATTTTTTCTGAGATATTTTGTCTGAAATATTTTGTCTGAGATATTTTGTCTGAGATATTTTGTCTGAGATATTTTGTCTGAGATCATTTATCCTGTCACCTTTAGATCAGAACAAAACTATACGTCACTTATTTGTCTTTCACTATATTTCAGCTCTGATAATTCATAAAGTTCTTTGTGTTGCACTATATTTCAGCTCTGATAATTCATTAAGTTCTTTGTGTTGCACTATATTTCAGCTATGATAATTCATTAAGCTCTTTGTGTTGCACTATATTTCAGCTATGATAATTCATTAAGCTATTTGTGTTGATTATATTTCAGCTATGATAATTCATTAAGCTCTTTGTGTTGCACTATATTTCAGCTACGATAATTCATTAAGCTCTTTGTGTTGCACTATATTTCAGCTACGATAATTCATTAAGCTCTTTGTGTTGCACTATATTTCAGCTACGATAATTCATAAAGTTCTTTGTGTTGCACTATATTTAAGCTACGATAATTCATAAAGCTCTTTGTGTTGCACTATATTTCAGCTACGATAATTCATTAAGCTCTTTGTGTTGCACTATATTTCAGCTACGATAATTCATTAAGCTCTTTGTGTTGCACTATATTTCAGCTACGATAATTCATTAAGCTCTTTGTGTTGCACTATATTTCAGCTCTGATAATTCATAAAGTTCTTTGTGTTGCACTATATTTAAGCTACGATAATTCATTAAGCTCTTTGTGTTGCACTATATTTCAGCTCTGATAATTCATTAAGCTCTTTGTGTTGCACTATATTTTAGCTCTGATAATTCATAAAGTTCTTTGTGTTGCACTATATTTCAGCTACGATAATTCATTAAGCTCTTTGTGTTGCACTATATTTCAGCTACGATAATTCATTAAGCTCTTTGTGTTGCACTATATTTCAGCTACGATAATTCATTAAGCTCTTTGTGTTGCACTATATTTCAGCTACGATAATTCATTAAGCCCTTTGTGTTGCACTATATTTCAGCTCTGATAATTCATAAAGTTCTTTGTGTTGCACTATATTTAAGCTACGATAATTCATTAAGCTCTTTGTGTTGCACTATATTTCAGCTCTGATAATTCATTAAGCTCTTTGTGTTGCACTATATTTTAGCTCTGATAATTCATAAAGTTCTTTGTGTTGCACTATATTTCAGCTATGATAATTCATAAAGTTCTTTGTGTTGCACTATATTTCAGCTATGATAATTCATAAAGTTCTTTGTGTTGCACTATATTTCAGCTATGATAATTCATAAAGTTCTTTGTGTTGCACTGTGTTTCAGCTTTGATAGACAAAGAAGGCTTGAGGCCCATCAATCAACTCTTTGAAGAGTTTGGTGGCTGGCCAATACTAGAGGGTGATGCATGGGAAAGTAAGACAGAAACGTTGAGTCTGTTGGTTAATCAGTTTAACTACAACACCAAGGCCCTGGTTGACCATCTTGTGGGTGCTGATGACAAGAATCCTGAACTCAACATTATTCAGGTGTGTCTCCCTTTTCATAGTTTTTTTTTTTAATCTGCCTGTTGCCTGTTTTCTTTATTTGTCTGCTCTTTTCTTTACTTATGTTTGTCTGCCCTTTCTTCATTTTTTAAAAACATTTTGTTGCCTGTACTTTGAAGTTTCTTTTTAAAACATAATTGATTTTTGTCTGTTAGTTGATCGCTATGTTTTTGTTAGTCTTTTATTTGTATTAATTTAACAAAGAATTTTTTTTCTTGGCGTTAGGCGTTTGTCTGTTAATTGGAGTTTGATGTTGTTGGAGTTTGATGTTGTTGGAGTTTGATGTTGTTGGAGTTTGATGTTGTTGGAGTTTGATGTTGTTGGAGTTTGATGTTGTTGGAGTTTGATGTTGTTGGAGTTTGATGTTGTTGGAGTTTGATGTTGTTGGAGTTTGATGTTGTTGGAGTTTGATGTTGTTGGAGTTTGATGTTGTTGGAGTTTGATGTTGTTGGAGTTTGATGTTGTTGGAGTTTGATGTTGTTGGAGTTTGATGTTGTTGGAGTTTGATGTTGTTGGAGTTTGATGTTGTTGGAATTTGATGTTGTTGGAGTTTGATGTTGTTGGAGTTTGATGTTGTTGGAGTTTGATGTTGTTGGAGTTTGATGTTGTTGGAGTTTGATGTTGTTGGAGTTTGATGTTGTTGGAGTTTGATGTTGTTGGAGTTTGATGTTGTTGGAGTTTGATGTTGTTGGAGTTTGATGTTGTTGGAGTTTGATGTTGTTGGAGTTTGATGTTGTTGGAGTTTGATGTTGTTGGAGTTTGATGTTGTTGGAGTTTGATGTTGTTGGAGTTTGATGTTGTTGGAGTTTGATGTTGTTGGAGTTTGATGTTGTTGGAGTTTGATGTTGTTGGAGTTTGATGTTGTTGGAGTTTGATGTTGTTGGAGTTTGATGTTGTTGGAGTTTGATGTTGTTGGAGTTTGATGTTGTTGGAGTTTGATGTTGTTGGAGTTTGATGTTGTTGGAGTTTGATGTTGTTGGAGTTTGATGTTGTTGGAGTTTGATGTTGTTGGAGTTTGATGTTGTTGGAGTTTGATGTTGTTGGAGTTTGATGTTGTTGGAGTTTGATGTTGTTGGAGTTTGATGTTGTTGGAGTTTGATGTTGTTGGAGTTTGATGTTGTTGGAGTTTGATGTTGTTGGAGTTTGATGTTGTTGGAGTTTGATGTTGTTGGAGTTTGATGTTGTTGGAGTTTGATGTTGTTGGAGTTTGATGTTGTTGGAGTTTGATGTTGTTGGAGTTTGATGTTGTTGGAGTTTGATGTTGCTAATGCTACAAATGTGTGGACAGCTTGACCAGCCTGAGCTTGGCATGCCGTCTCCGGACTACTTCCTGTATGACGATGCCAACAGTAAGCTGCTTGTCTACAAGAGATTCGCTTTACAAATGGCTGAGGCCTTGGGAGCCGAGGCCCAGACTGCGAAACGAGATGTTGATGCCATGATTGACTTTGAAATCCAGCTTGCTAAAGTAAGTGCTGAGCTGGATGCCCGCTACACATTGCTTCACTTATTACGACTTAGACTTACCCGTCCTAATCCGAGTTTTAGTTTTAACGGTTACATTTATGCAGAGTAAAATTTATGCAGAGTAAAGGATCTATTAAATGTCACATTTATGTAGAGTAAGGGATCTATTAAATGTCACATTTATGTAGAGTAAGGGATCTATTAAATGTCACATTTATGTAGAGTAAGGGATCTATTAAATGTCACATTTATGTAGAGTAAGGGATCTAGTAAATGTCACATTTATGTAGAGTAAGGGATCTATTAAATGTCACATTTATGTAGAGTAAGGGATCTAGTAAATGTCATATTTATGTAGAGTAAGGGATCTATTAAATGTCCCATTTATGTAGAGTAAGGGATCTATTAAATGTCACATTTATGTAGAGTAAGGGATCTAGTAAATGTCACATTTATGTAGGGTAAGGGATCTAGTAAATGTCATATTTATGTAGAGTAAGGGATCTATTAAATGTCCCATTTATGTAGAGTAAGGGATCTATTAAATGTCACATTTATGTAGAGTAAGGGATCTAGTAAATGTCACATTTATGTAGAGTAAGGGATCTAGTAAATGTCACATTTATGTAGAGTAAGGGATCTAGTAAATGTCACATTTATGCAGAGTTAGGTATCTCTTATATGTATTGATCCTATCATATATCAAGAATTGTTAAATAAGCTATATGTACCCTATAATGCCCAGGGTAACATTTTTTGTTGCTTTGTCATTTAAACTCTAAGGACACCACTGCCAGACTTTAAATTATGTTTTGTACAGTCAATTTTTAATTTTAAAATCTTTCTTTACTCAAAGCAAGCTGGCCACCTTTAGATTTAATATAACATTTAAATCGTCTGTCGTAGCTAGTTCATGCTTTATACCAGGGGTCTCCAAACTACGGCCCGTGGAGATCTTTTTGTCCTACGGACATTTTTTTTTTACTGAAATGTCCGTGTATCCTGCCAAGGTCAGCCACTGCTTACTTGGACGTTTTGTTTTTACCGAATTAAAAGAGACACACAGTAGTGCGTTATATTTACCAACCGATCACTACATTGGAAAACGTATTGCTAAAAGTAGCAAACCGTTTATAGATGGTGAAGTGGTGAAAGAATGTTTGTTGGAGGTGGCTGAGGAACTTTGCCAAGAAAAGCCTAAACAATTTGAATTTTTTTTCATAAAAAAACGTTTTAATAACAAGCTTTTCTGCAGAGGCTTAGCGAGGGGGGGGGGGGGGGTGTGGACCGCACCAAGTGACACCATTTAGGGGGTGACACCAAGGCAAAAAATAGCAAAATATATAGAGAAAACTTCGAGGGGGGGTGCAAATCGAAAGTTTGAGGGGGGGGGGTGCAAATCGGAAATTTGTCCCCGTGAAGGGTCGCTGCGTCTCGGGGGGGGGGGGGGGGGGGTGACACCATTAAGTGCCGCACCGTGTGACACCTGACCTCGCTACGCCACTGCTTTTATGTAATAATGCACTAAAAAGTAGAAAATAAATTATTAACTACTATTTAAATTACTATTAAGAAAAGCGTGGGTCACTTTAGTATCTATTGGATACAGTGTTTCTTCCAGACTTTTTTCTCCGAGGAGGCACTTGATATTTTCGGGGTGGCGGTCAACATTTTTCGGGGGGGGGGGGGCGGACACTAGTAAAAGTGTATGTATACTATATAAATTCCATCTCTTTCGGGGGAGCGGTAGACTTTCTTCGGGGGGGGGGGGGGCGAAGCCCCCACGAAGAGATCTGGAAGAAACTCTGATTGGATACCTTTACTAATATCAGAGGCGTAGCGATGGGGGGGGGGGCAGGGGGGACGACATATGTCACCGGGCGCCGACCATAGGGGGCGCCAAAATGGGTTGTAAAAACAAATTAAAATGTCATTTTAGCTACATTTTTGCAGTTTGAGTGGAGGGGGTGCAAATCGAAAAGTTAAAGTAAACTCCACTTAGTTACCCCCCCCCCCACGTTTAAAATAGTTTCAAACTAAATTATCTGCCCCTAATAGTCGTCACTAAACCCGGCTCTGTTTGTAAACATTTAGAGTGAACCACAGCTCACCAGACCATGTAGGGGTGGGGTGGTAGGGAGCGCGTTTACAGGTTGTGTTCTAGCGTCTCCCAGAAGAGAATTATATATATATATATATATATATATATATATATATATATATATATATATATATATATATATATATATATATTTCTCAAACATGTAGAAAATTAAAATATATAGGCCTATAATTCACGTGTAACGGGTTCCGACGGCTAGTGTCTGATAAACGGCTACAGGACATTACCCCCCTGGAAATTCCCCCCCCCCCCCGTATTTACCCCCCGGAGCAATTACCCCTCTGTCAATTATCCCCCTGTCAATTACCCCCTCCCCCCCTCCGGTTAATTACCCCCCCTCTCAAGTTAGAATACTAACTCTAACTAGAATTCTATACCTTTATACTACTTTAATCAAACCTTAAGTAAAAGACCAAAACCAAAGCATCCACCTTAGCCTAAAACTTCACACAAAACCAAAACCAACTCTAGACACAACCCTAACCCTAACCATGACACTAGCTCTAACCCTAACCCTAGCCCTAACCCTAATCTTAACCCTAACCCTAACCCTAGCCCTATCCCTAGCCCTAGCCCTAGCCCTAGCCCTAGCCCTAGCCCTAGCCCTAGCCCTAGCCCTAGCCCTAGCCCTAGCCCTAGCCCTAGCCCTAACCCTAGCCCTAACCCTAACCCTAACCCTAACCCTAACCCTAACCCTAGCCCTAATCCTAGCCCTAACCCTAGCCCCAATCCTAGCCCTAACCCTAGCCCCAATCCTAGCCCTAACCCTAGCCACAATCCTAGCCCTAGCCCTAATCCTAGCCCTAACCCTAGCCCCAATCCTAGCCCTAACCCTAACCCTAGCCCTAACCATAACCATAACCAAAACCATAACCATAACCCTAGCCCTAATACTAGCCCTAACCCTAGCCCTAACCCTAGCCCTAATCCTAGCCCTAGCCCTAACCCTAACCCTAACCCTAACCCTAACCCTAACCCTAACCCTAACCCTAACCCTAACCCTAACCCTAACCCTAGCCCTAAACCTAACCCTAACCCTAAACCTAGCCCTAACCTTAACTCTAACCCTGTCCGGGGGGTAATGTCCTACTGGGCGGGGGGTAATTGACAGGTGGGTAATTGACAGGGGGGGGGTAATTACTCTGGGGGGTAATGTCGGGGGGGGGAAATGTCCGGGGGGTAATTGACAAGGGGGAAATGCCCTGTTCCCCTGATAAACAGAGGGTATGGAAATTGACCTTAGCTGCAGACATAAGTCATAACGACGACTTTTTGCGCAAGACTTTCCTAATGTCAAAACTTTGCATCAAGGTAATTTTCAATTTTTGGAACAAAAATTTTCAAGAAGGAAATACGTGAAGAACAATTAGAGAAGTAACTTGTCCGATGACAGGGTCACTGTTGATGTTAGGGACATCAAATCTAAAGCCAGAAATGTCTGCTATTCTGGCATCCAGTCCCACTAATACTAGTATCCATGTGTAGTGTATCAAGGTGTTATTAAATAATAACTGAACAAAATAATATTGAATAAATAATTAAAAACAGCATTCATGTTTTTGTTCTTTTTTATTCGGACCTCTAGTGTGTTATCGGCCCCTGAACTGCTATTGGATAGTTAATGCGGCCCTCGGGCTAAAAAGTTTGAAGACCTCTGCTATATAAAAAAAAAGGAGTACAGGCATAGTGAAGAAAAGATTTTTCTAAATTATTTTGTTCGATTTCAAAACGTTTAGATTACAAAACCTAAGGCTCAAAGACGGGACAATGAGGCAATGTACAAGAATATGACCATTCAAGACTTCGCTCTAAAGGTCCCTGAGGTCAGAACCATTAATTAATTAATTAATTGTTTGAAAGTCCGTTACAAAACTTTTTTTGTTTCAGCTTTGACAAGTTAGCACTGCAGTTAGTTTTGTGTATGTCAGCACTGTAGTTAGTTTTGTGTATGTCAGCACTGTAGTTAGTTTTGTGTATGTCAGCACTGTAGTTAGTTTTGTGTATGTCAGCACTGTAGTTAGTTTTGTGTATGTCAGCACTGTAGTTAGTTTTGTGTATGTCAGCACTGTAGTTAGTTTTGTGTATGTCAGCACTGTAGTTAGTTTTGTGTATGTCAGCACTGTAGTTAGTTTTGTGTATGTCAGCACTGTAGTTAGTTTTGTGTATGTCAGCACTGTAGTTAGTTTTGTGTATGTCAGCACTGTAGTTAGTTTTGTGTATGTCAGCACTGTAGTTAGTTTTGTGTATGTCAGCACTGTAGTTAGTTTTGTGTATGTCAGCACTGTAGTTAGTTTTGTGTATGTCAGCACTGTAGTTAGTTTTGTGTATGTCAGCACTGTAGTTAGTTTTGTGTGTTTGCTAAATTTTAATGTAGTGGTCGCGGCCGAGTGTGATTTTTGTTAGATGGTCTTCACACCAGCAGGGCCGGCGCTACCTATAAGGCGAACTAGGCGGTCGCCTAGGGCGCTGTCCGTAGGGGGGGGGCGCCAAAATGGGTTGGAAAAACAAATTGAAAGTTTGAGGGGGGGGGGGAGCAAATCGAAAGTTTGAGGGGGGATGCAAATCGAAAGTTTGTCCCTGGGCGCCGGGAAGGGTCGCTACGCCTCTAATAATACGGGGGCACGAAAACAATGGGGGGGGGGGGGGCGCTTTTAATAAGTTTTACCTATAACCTGGCGCCGGCACTGCACACTAGCTCGAAAACAGTTATTAACTTAACGTCTAACGGGTTGATAACTGCATACTTTGCTTTGTGCTCCTTGTTCCATTTAACCTTGGTTGAAGTAAATACGTTTTTTCTCCTCCGTTATTTTCTTGTAAACATTTGAGACCAGATTGAATGGCTGAAATACCTTCAGGAGATTTACAAAACTGCTGATATTGTCATCACTGAACACGAGACTATCGTGGTCTACGCTCTCCCTTACTTTGTAGCTTTGGGAAAACTCATTCAGAGGAGTCCTACAAGGTAAGGTTAAAACTAGAAGTCCTACAAGGTAAGGCTAGAACTAGAAGTCCTAAAAGGTAAGATACAACTAGAAGTCCTAAAAGGTAAGGCTACAACTAGAAGTCTCACAAGGTAAGGCTAGAACTAGAAGTCCCAAAAGGTAAGATACAACTAGAAGTCCTAAAAGGTAAGGCTAGAACTAGAAGTCCTAAAAGGTAAGATACAACTAGAAGTCCTAAAAGGTAAGGCTAGAACTAGAAGTCCTAAAAGGTAAGGCTAGAACTAGAAGTCCTAAAAGGTAAGGCTAGAACTAGAAGTCCTAAAAGGTAAGGCTAGAACTAGAAGTCTCACAAGGTAAGGCTAGAACTAGAAGTCCTAAAAGGTAAGGCTAGAACTAGAAGTCCTAAAAGGTAAGATACAACTAGAAGTCCTAAAAGGTAAGGCTAGAACTAGAAGTCCTAAAAGGTAAGGCTAGAACTAGAAGTCCCACAAGGTAAGGCTAGAACTAGAAGTCCTAAAAGGTAAGGCTAGAACTAGAAGTCCTAAAAGGTAAGGCTAGAACTAGAAGTCCTAAAGGGTAAGATACAACTAGAAGTCCTAAAAGGTAAGGCTAGAACTAGAAGTCCTAAAAGGTAAGGCTAGAACTAGAAGTCCTACAAGTTTTGTTGTGTCTATACTCCATAGAGTTCTCGCAAATTACGTTATATGGAGGTGTCTGATGGCAAGAATAGACAACCTTCCAAAAGAATACAGGAAAATTCGGAGTGAGTTCAGTAAGGTAATTGATGCTTTAATCATTAAGATAACATGTAGAATGTTGCCTAAAACATTAAGATAACTTGTAGAATGTTGCCTAAAACATTAAGATAACTTGTAGAATGTTACCTAAAACATTAAGATAACTTGTAGAATGTTATCTAAAACATTAAGATAACTTATAGAATGTTGACTAAAACATTAAGATAACTAGAAAAATATTACCCTACAAAATGTGAGAGACAATGTGAAATATAGTCCTATACAACAACATACAACATGAGAGACATGTAGTCCTATACAACAACATACAATGTGAGAGACATGTAGTCCTATACAACATACACTGTGAGAGACATGTAGTCCTATACAACAACATACAATGTGAGAGACATGTAGTCCTATACAACAACATACAATGTGAGAGACATGTAGTCCTATACAACATACAATGTGAGAGACATGTAGTCCTATACAACAACATACACTATGAGAGACATGTAGTCCTATACAACAACATACACTGTGAGAGACATGTAGTCCTATACAACAACATACACTGTGAGAGACATGTAGTCCTATACAACAACATACACTGTGAGAGACATGTAGTCCTATACAACAACATACAATGTGAGAGACATGTAGTCATATACAACATACACTGTGAGAGACATGTAGTCCTATACAACATACAATGTGAGAGACATATAGGCCTATACAACAACATACAATGTGAGAGACATGTAGTCCTATACAACATACAATATGAGAGACATGTAGTCCTATACAACAACATACACTGTGAGAGACATGTAGTCCTATACAACATACAATGTGAGAGACATGTAGTCCTATACAACAACATACAATGTGAGAGACATGTAGTCCTATACAACAACATACACTGTGAGAGACATGTAGTCCTATACAACAACATACACTGTGAGAGACATGTAGTCCTATACAACAACATACAATGTGAGAGACATGTAGTCCTATACAACATACACTGTGAGAGACATGTAGTCCTATACAACATACACTGTGAGAGACATGTAGTCCTATACAACAACATACAATGTGAGAGACATGTAGTCCTATACAACAACATACACTATGAGAGACATGTAGTCCTATACAACAACATACACTGTGAGAGACATGTAGTCCTATACAACAACATACAATGTGAGAGACATGTAGTCCTATACAACAACATACAATGTGAGAGACATGTAGTCCTATACAACATACACTGTGAGAGACATGTAGTCCTATACAACAACATACACTGTGAGAGACATGTAGTCATATACAACATACACTGTGAGAGACATGTAGTCCTATACAACAACATACAATGTGAGAGACATGTAGTCCTATACAACAACATACAATGTGAGAGACATGTAGTCCTATACAACAACATACAATGTGAGAGACATGTAGTCATATACAACATACACTGTGAGAGACATGTAGTCCTATACAACAACATACAATGTGAGAGACATGTAGTCCTATACAACAACATACAATGTGAGAGACATGTAGTCCTATACAACAACATACAATGTGAGAGACATGTAGTCCTATACAACAACATACAATGTGAGAGACATGTAGTCATATACAACATACACTGTGAGAGACATGTAGTCCTATACAACTACATACAATGTGAGAGACATGTAGTCCTATACAACAACATACAATGTGAGAGACATGTAGGCCTATACAACAACATACAATGTGAGAGACATGTAGTCCTATACTACAGTCCTTTGACTATACAGAGCAGGAAATCGATACACCTGTTCATGTTTTCCCCTAACAAGCTAAAAGGTTATGGCCCTTGGCTAATGTCCGATATTTCCGATATTCGTGCCTCGCAACATTTGCGCTCCGTCCATTAGAAACTCCTTTTACTCTCGTGTTTCCAAACTAATTCTGTTTCTCTCTAATACCAAATTCCTTCTCTCTGCCTCTGTCGCATTCTCTCTCTCCCTATCTCTCTTTTATCACGCACATATTTCCACTAAAATCACTTTAGTCACATATGGTATTTTGTCTGCATGTAAGGATTAAAATAGATTAGTAAAAAAGTAAAAAGATTGAAAAAGTAGATCAAATGAAAGGTAGAAAAAGTGTCAAGTGTTTAAAAGTGGGAAGAGTGGGCGCAGTTTTAAAAAGAAGGAAGATTGTCCTTGATTGAGTAACATAGCTTTCTTCTTATTAAAGCATGAATAGTGTCATTGTCTCTATACAGCAAGAAAGATTGTCTTTGTCTCCATACAGATTGAATATTGTTTTTGTCTCCATACAGCATGAGTTTAAAAGTGGGAAGAGTGGGCGCAGTTTTAAAAAGAAGGAAGATTGTCCTTGATTGAGTAACATAGCTTTCTTCTTATTAAAGCATGAATAGTGTCATTGTCTCTATACAGCAAGAAAGATTGTCTTTGTCTCCATACAGATTGAATATTGTTTTTGTCTCCATACAGCATGAGTTTAAAAGTGGGAAGAGTGGGCGCAGTTTTAAAAAGAAGGAAGATTGTCCTTGATTGAGTAACATAGCTTTCTTCTTATTAAAGCATGAATAGTGTCATTGTCTCTATACAGCAAGAAAGATTGTCTTTGTCTCCATACAGATTGAATATTGTCTTTGTCTCCATACAGCATGAAAGATTGTCATTGTCTCCATACAGCATAAAAGATTGTCTTTGTCTCCATACAGCATGAAAGATTGTCTTTGTCTCCATACAGCATGAAAGATTGTCATTGTCTCCATACAGCATAAAAGATTGTCTTTGTCTCCATACAGCATGAAAGATTGTCATTGTCTCCATACAGCATAAAAGATTGTCTTTGTCTCCATACAGCATGAAAGATTGTCTTTGTCTCCATACAGCACGAAAGATTGTCTTTGTCTCCATACAGCATGAAAGATTGTCTTTGTCTCCATACAGCATAAAAGATTGTCTTTGTCTCCATACAGCATAAAAGATTGTCATTGTCTCCATACAGCATAAAAGATTGTCATTGTCTCCATACAGCATAAAAGATTGTCATTGTCTCCATACAGCATAAAAGATTGTCTTTGTCTCCATACAGCACATCTTTGGATCAGAGTCGGAGCCCCCAAGGTGGTACGACTGTGTTAGTTATATCAACGATAACATGGGCAACGCCGCTGGACGTCTCTTTGTTGAAAGACACTTTGATGAAGGTTCAAAGGAAACAGTAAGTCTTACAGCAATTAATGTCACTTCGAATGGACTCTAATAAATAGAATTCCTACATTAATTAGTGTCACTTAGAAAGTTCTAAAGAATGTAAGTCTTACAGCAACTAATGTCACTTCGAATGGACTCTAATAAATAGAATTCCTACATTAATTAGTGTCACTTAGAAAGTTCTAAAGAATGTAAGTCTTACAGCAATTAATGTCACTTCGAATGGACTCTAATAAATAGAATTCCTACATTAATTAGTGTCACTTAGAAAGTTCTAAAGAATGTAAGTCTTACAGCAATTAATGTCACTTCGAATGGACTCTAATAAATAGAATTCCTACATTAATTAGTGTCACTTAGAAAGTTCTAAAGAATGTAAGTCTTACAGCAATTAATGTCACTTCGAATGGACTCTAATAAATAGAATTCCTACATTAATTAGTGTCACTTAGAAAGTTCTAAAGAATGTAAGTCTTGCAGCAATTAATGTCATTCATGATGTGGCAGAAGACGCGAGAGAAAAAATTTCAAGCTTTTGCTTTTTTATTTAACTGTGTTTCAGGCCATGGAAATGATTGATGATATTCGTGAAGCTTTTTATCAACTTTTAGATGAGGCTGATTGGATGGATGATACAACACGAGTGGTTGCTAAAGAAAAGGCGAGTTTAGAAAGTAGAAAAACAAATCTTGCTCTTATTATAAGTCTATATGATATTGGCTTGATATTTGAACCCATCTAACGTTATCTAAGAATTTTAGCAAATTTTGACTTCACTCTTAGAACACACACCTCCGCTCTTCATCAACATGGAAGTCTTAAGTGTTGATATGGGCCGCCAACCAAAGATCTCAAGAGCCCTCTGTCCTGTTCTCAACCTGACTCCAGGTGAAGTCCGTCTTTGTGGTGTCAGCCTCAAGGTCCCGTCTCCAGGTGTTTCTTCGTCGAGATCGTTAGCGCTTTCCTGAGGGTTCCACCTCAATGCCTGCCTCCTGATAGTGGTGGTTTGCGCAATCTGTGTCCTTTCCAACGTCATTTTTTCCTAATTTCTCCTTCAGCGGCAAGTTGTCATGTTGTTTGGCAAAGTTGCTGGTGGTGTCGGGGCAGCGGATCCTGGACATCTGCTGAGACAGCTGTTTATAAAGGTCTGGACCTTATCAATGGCAGTCTGTGTTGTCCCCGCCCCATACAGCAGCTCTGATTTGACGTTGGAGTTGAACAGGCGAATAATGGTGGACAATGAGAGCTGGCTGGAGATCCGGATGTTCTTTGGCTGCACGAATGCTGCTCTTGGTTTGTCAGTCCTTGCTTTAATATCTACATTTGTTCCTTTTGGGCCACAATACTACCTAATTAAGTCAACGATTGACTTTCCTCCCTGATGGGCCACAATACTACCTAATTAAGTCAACGATTGACTTTCCTCCCTGATGGGCCACAATACTACCTAATTAAGTCAACGATTGACTTTCCTCCCTGATGGGTCACAATACTACCTAATTAAGTCAACGATTGACTTTCCTCCAGCGCGACTTCACCAAGTGTGACCTATACGTTAAACTTTAGTACTTTTGCTTGTAGATGTCCAACCTACGACAATCTTTGTTTTCTCCTGCATCTCCTGCATGTGGGAGCACGAGATCGTCTGTAATGTCCAAGTCGTCAAGTAGAGGCCACTGCATGTCTAAGTTCTCTGGTGGTTGTCTTCATAATCCAGTCGACGGTACGAAGGAAGAGGGGTTAGGACAGCAGGCATCCTTAACGGACTTCAATTCGCATTTGAAAACGTTTGCACGTTGCCCTCTAAAAAACACTGTATAGGACGTCCCCTCGCATGTGTTTTTATGAGGTTCACAAATGTCAGTAGAACGTCGCAGTGGCGTAGGAGCTTCCACATTGTCCACTTTGTCTGTCCACACTGTCCACATTGTCTGTCCACATTGTCTGTCCACATTGTCCACACTGTCTGTCCACAGTGTCCACTGTCCACATTGTCTGTCCACACTGTCCACATTGTCCACACTGTCTGTCCACATTGTCCACACTGTCTGTCCACATTGTCCACACTGTCTGTCCACAGTGTCCACACTGTCTGTCCACAGTGTCCACTGTCCACATTGTCTGTCCACACTGTCCACATTGTCCACACTGTCTGTCCACATTGTCCACACTGTCTGTCCACATTTACTGTCCACAATGCCCACATTATCTGTCCATAATGTCCATATTGTCTATCCACACTGTCTGTCCACACTGTCTATCAATATTGTCTATCAACACTGTCCACATTATCTGTCCACATTGTCTGTCCGCATTGTCGGTCCACATTGTCTGTCCACATTATCTGTCCACATTGTCTGTCCACATTGTCTGTCCACATTGTCTGTCCACATTGTCCACATTGTCTGTCCACATTGTCTGTCCACATTGTCTGTCCACATTGTCTGTCCACATTGTCTGTCCACATTGTCTGTCCACATTGTCTGTCCACATTATCTGTCCACATTGTCTGTCCACATTGTCTGTCCACATTGTCTGTCCACATTATCTGTCCACATTGTCTGTCCACATTGTCTGTCCACATTGTCTGTCCACATTGTCCACATTGTCTGTCCACACTGTCCACATTGTCTGTCCACATTGTCCACATTGTCTGTCCACATTGTCTGTCCACATTTACTGTCCACATTGTCTGTCCACATTGTCTGTCCACATTGTCTGTCCACATTGTCTGTCCACATTGTCTGTCCACATTGTCTGTCCACATTGTCTGTCCACATTGTCTGTCCACATTGTCTGTCCACATTGTCTGTCCACATTGTCTGTCCACATTGTCTGTCCACATTGTCTGTCCACATTGTCTGTCCACATTATCTGTCCACATTGTCTGTCCACATTGTCTGTCCACATTGTCTGTCCACATTGTCTGTCCACATTGTCTGTCCACATTGTCTGTCCACATTGTCTGGCTTTTCGCAGTTAATAGGGTATTCTACTTCATGTGAGAGATGGCCGTCCTAATTTCCTCTCAGTAAATATTTTTACCATCTAGTCGCGCTGTATCAGTAAGAAAAAATTACCATCTAGATGCGCTGTATCTGTAAGAAAAAAATACCATCTTGCATCTATCTAAAATATTACGCAACTTATAGGCTTTTGAAAGATTCAAAGTAGAAAAAGTACCACTTCCGGTTATCGGAAATTGCTCAAAAGTTGATCAGGATCTACGATTTTGATAAAATACTTATATATGAAATTTCATCAACCTAGCTGTAACGGTACTCAAGTTATCGTGTTTACACACAGACAGACACACAGACACACAGACAAACGGACAGATTTGCAAAGTCCAGTTTTTACGACTCGATAACTCATAAAACGCCAAAACATTTATATATTTGTATTTATAATTTTTGCCTGATTAAAATAAGTTCTCTATACTCCGGATGTGATGAAGGACTGAGGAGTAAAACGGTGAAAACTGTCAAAATTTCATGTTATTTTTGTGCACGATTACAATACTTTCTCTATACTTGGTATATACGAGAAAGTAAAAATACCATCTTGTCGCGCTGTATCAGTAAGAAAAAAATTACCATCTTGTCGGGCTGTATCATACAGTTTTCTTTACCATCCAGGCACAGGCTGTGTCTGTAAACATTGGTTATCCTGAGTCGATATTAAACAACACGGCACTGGATGCGGAATATGACGGGGTGAGTATAGTTAACAACAGGTCGCTGGGAAATATGGTCACTACTTACAGGTGCTTGCTAGTGTTTGTGGATAATGGGGTCACTACTTACAGGCGCTTGCTATTGTTTGTGGATAAAGGGGTCACTACTTACAGGCGCTTGCTATTGTTTGTGGATAATGGGGTCAATATATGCTTGCTAGTGTTTGTGGATAATGGGGTCAATATATGCTTGCTAGTGTTTGTGGATATTGGGGTCAATATATGCTTGCTAGTGTTTGTGGATATTGGGGTCAATATATGCTTGCTAGTGTTTGTGGATATTGGGGTCAATATATGCTTGCTAGTGTTTGTGGATAATGGGGTCACTACTTACAGGTGCTTGCTAGTGTTTGTGGATAATGGGGTCAATATATGCTTGCTAGTGTTTGTGGATAATGGGGTCAATATATGCTTGCTATTGTTTGTGGATAAAGGGGTCACTACTTACAGGCGCTTGCTATTGTTTGTGGATAATGGGGTCAATATATGCTTGCTAGTGTTTGTGGATAATGGGGTCAATATATGCTTGCTAGTGTTTGTGGATATTGGGGTCAATATATGCTTGCTAGTGTTTGTGGATATTGGGGTCAATATATGCTTGCTAGTGTTTGTGGATATTGGGGTCAATATATGCTTGCTAGTGTTTGTGGATAATGGGGTCACTACTTACAGGTGCTTGCTAGTGTTTGTGGATAATGGGGTCAATATATGCTTGCTAGTGTTTGTGGATAATGGGGTCAATATATGCTTGCTAGTGTTTGTGGATATTGGGGTCAATATATGCTTGCTAGTGTTTGTGGATAATGGGGTCAATATATGCTTGCTAGTGTTTGTGGATAATGGGGTCAATATATGCTTGCTAGTGTTTGTGGATAATGGGGTCAATATATGCTTGCTAGTGTTTGTGGATAATGGGGTCAATATATGCTTGCTAGTGTTTGTGCATAAAGGGGTCACTACTTACAGGTGCTTGCTAGTGTTTGTGGATAATGGGGTCACTACTTACAGGTGCTTGCTAGTGTTTGTGGATAATGGGGTCACTACTTACAGGTGCTTGCTAGTGTTTGTGGATAATGGGGTCAATATATGCTTGCTAGTGTTTGTGGATAATGGGGTCAATATATGCTTGCTAGTGTTTGTGGATAATGGGGTCAATATATGCTTGCTAGTGTTGGTGGATATTGGGGTCAATATATGCTTGCTATTGTTTGTGGATATTGGGGTCAATATATGCTTGCTAGTGTTTGTGGATAATGGGGTCACTACTTACAGGTGCTTGCTAGTGTTTGTGGATAATGGGGTCACTACTTACAGGTGCTTGCTAGTGTTTGTGGATAATGGGGTCAATATATGCTTGCTAGTGTTTGTGGATAATGGGGTCAATACATGCTTGCTAGTGTTTCGGATAATGGGGTCAATATATGCTTGCTAGTGTTTGTGGATAATGGGGTCAATACATGCTTGCTAGTGTTTCGGATAATGGGGTCAATATATGCTTGCTAGTGTTTGTGGATAATGGGGTCACTACTTACAGGTGCTTGCTAGTGTTTGTGGATAATGGGGTCACTACTTACAGGTGCTTGCTAGTGTTTGTGGATAATGGGGTCAATATATGCTTGCTAGTGTTTGTGGATAATGGGCTCACTACTTACAGGCGCTTGCTAGTGTTGGTGGATATTGGGGTCAATATATGCTTGCTAGTGTTGGTGGATATTGGGGTCAATATATGCTTGCTAGTGTTGGTGGATATTGGGGTCAATATATGCTTGCTAGTGTTGGTGGATATTGGGGTCAATATATGCTTGCTAGTGTTTGTGGATAATGGGGTCAATATATGCTTGCTAGTGTTGGTGGATATTGGGGTCAATATATGCTTGCTAGTGTTGGTGGATATTGGGGTCAATATATGCTTGCTAGTGTTTGTGGATAATGGGGTCAATATATGCTTGCTAGTGTTGGTGGATATTGGGGTCAATATATGCTTGCTAGTGTTGGTGGATATTGGGGTCAATATATGCTTGCTAGTGTTTGTGGATAATGGGGTCAATATATGCTTGCTAGTGTTGGTGGATATTGGGGTCAATATATGCTTGCTAGTGTTGGAGGATATTGGGGTCAATATATGCTTGCTAGTGTTGGTGGATATTGGGGTCAATATATGCTTGCTATTGTTTGTGGATAATGGGGTCAATATATGCTTGCTAGTGTTGGTGGATATTGGGGTCAATATATGCTTGCTAGTGTTGGTGGATATTGGGGTCAATATATGCTTGCTAGTGTTTGTGGATAATGGGGTCAATATATGCTTGCTAGTGTTTGTGGATAATGGGGTCAATATATGCTTGCTAGTGTTGGTGGATATTGGGGTCAATATATGCTTGCTAGTGTTGGTGGATATTGGGGTCAATATATGCTTGCTAGTGTTTGTGGATAATGGGGTCAATATATGCTTGCTAGTGTTGGTGGATATTGGGGTCAATATATGCTTGCTAGTGTTGGTGGATATTGGGGTCAATATATGCTTGCTAGTGTTTGTGGATAAAGGGGTCACTACTTAGTACTTACTTGCTTGCTATTGTTTGTGGATAATTGGGTCAATACTTACATTCTGATGATAAAATAATTTAGATCAAAAATAGTTTTGTTTTAAGATACTTCTTTCCAGAGACTAAATTTTTTCAATGACCAGTTATATTTAGGACTATGGACCAGTTATATTTAGGACTATGGTTAGGTTTTAGTTTTCGTTTTATTTACTTAAAAACAATTTATGGATTATAGTGTATTTTTTGTTGTCATGTTAGGTTATTCATTTCTAAAGAAACCTAGCGTGGTTGTTAGCCTGTAAGGGAGCTAATCAAATCTATGTGAGTTGATGGGGAAAATAGAAGTGGACGCTAAAAACCTCTTTAGTTCTAATAAATTGTATTATGTATACTGGTTTATTAACCTTTCAAAAAATTATATTTTAGCTGATTTTCCATCCAGATCGTTTTTTTGATAATGTTGTAAAGCTTCTAAAACACAAAGCTTTCTCAACGGTGAAGAAGTTGCGACAGCCTGTTGACAAGTCAAAGTAAGTTCAGGGTACAAAAAAGAAGTTGTCACTCTAATTACTTTGACGGAGTAAGAGTAGTGAATTACATGAAATGCGGCTATCGATTGGAAGGTGCGCGGACCTTTGACCACAGGTGCTTTGACCATAGGGGGTTTGACCATAAGGGGTTTGACCACAGCGGAGCTTTGACCATAGGAGCTTTGACCATAGGGGGTTTGACCACAGCGGGCCTTTGACCATAGCGGTGCTTTGACCATAGGGGGTTTGACCACATGTGTTTTCTCAGCAAAGGGTCATTGATCACAGGTGGTCTATCAACGGGTGTTTGATCACTGTGTCCGGCTTTGATCATAGGTGTGATACAATTAACACTATTTTATACACGTTTCCTGAGAGTACGTTAATAGAAATTAACATATATTTTAAAAAAGCCAAGAACTGTATTTTAGTCTCCACATAAAGGCTGGTGCTAGGCCTTATAGATTTATTTTAAATATAAATGAAACACAAATAATGCGACATATAACAAGTTTCACAAATAAATAATGTAGATGTACTTGAAAATACATAGCATATATAAAGGATAAAAGGATAATAAATAATACAAAAATTGCCAACAATATAGTCAAAGATGTAATACATAAAATGGTTAACTAAATGATAGATGTGCTATAGCACGCAAATATGTCAGTACATCTGTTTGACCATATGTCTGGACAGCACGTTGTACCTTTTCGTGCACCATCTTGTATCGCTTCTCAGCTGGGTAGCTTGCCCCTGCGACACCTTGCAAGAAAGTTGTCTTTTGCCGCGTGCAGTCCATCTGTAGACCTTCAAGGAAACGCCACATTGTTGGGTGACTACATTGGAGGAGAGACTGAAGACTGAATTGCCATCCTTCACAAATGTTATTTGTTCGTGCTACACCATCGCCAATCGTGTGCATTTGATTCCAAGTTTCAACTGGAAACAAAGCAAGCTTGTACTTTTCGCCACGACCACGGATGCGACGACCTCGGACACAGCGCTTGTGATCAAACACCAGTTGATAGACCACCTGTGATCAAAGACCCTCTGCTGAGAAAACCCTGTGGTCAAACCCCCTATGGTCAAACCACCGCTATGGTCAAAAGCCCGCTGTGGTCAAACCCCCTATGGTCAAAGCCCCTATGGTCAAAGCTCCGCTGTGGTCAAACCCCCTATGGTCAAACCCCCTATGGTCAAAGCACCTGTGGTCAAAGGTCCTAGGACCGATTGGAATTATATCTAAATGATTTATACAATCCAAGGTTTATTTCATTTTTAGCCACTCTAAATGTTTATAAAATCCAAGTTTTATTTCATTATCAGACACTCTAAATGTTTATAAAATCCAAGTTTTATTTCATTATCAGACACTCTAAATGTTTATAAAATCCAAGATTTGTTTCATTATCAGACACTCTAAATGTTTATAAAATCCAAGTTTTATTTCATTACCAGACACTCTAAATGTTTATAAAATCCAAGGTTTATTTGACTATCAGGTGGTCTACGACGCCAGCTAATGTCAATGCCTATTATAGCTCCATTAGAAACCAAATTAGTAAGTCCTCTAACTATACAGCAGATACATGCAGTCAGTTTAGATGTGTGGGTATGTGTGGGATGTTGAGTTCAGATGAGATGTTTAGGTGGGGGAGATGTGTTGGTGGAAGGTGAGTTAGTTGAGATGTGTGGGGGTGAGTTAGTTGAGATGTGTGGGGGTGAGTTAGTTGAGATGTGTGGGGGTGAGTTAGTTGAGATGTGTGGGGGTGAGTTAGTTGAGATGTGTGTGGGGGTGAGTTAGTTGAGATGTTTGGGGGTGAGTTAGTTGAGATGTGTGGGGGTGAGTTAGTTGAGATGTGTGTGGGGGTGAGTTAGTTGAGATGTGTGGGGGTGAGTTAGTTGAGATGTGTGTGGAGTGAGTTAGTTGAGATGTGTGTGGGGGTGAGTTAGTTGAGATGTGTGGGGGTGAGTTAGTTGAGATGTGTGGGGGTGAGTTAGTTGAGATGTGTGTGGGGTGAGTTAGTTGAGATGTGTAAGTGGGGGTGAGTTAGTTGAGATGTGTAAGTGGGGGTGAGTTAGTTGAGATGTGTAAGTGGGGGTGAGTTAGTTGAGATGTGTAAGTGGGGGTGAGTTAGTTGAGATGTGTGTGGGGGTGAGTTAGTTGAGATGTGTAAGTGGGGGTGAGTTAGTTGAGATGTGTAAGTGGGGTTAGTTAGTTGAGATGTGTAAGTGGGGGTGCGATAGTTGAGATGTGTGGGGGTGAGTTAGTTGAGATGTCTAAGTGGGGGTGCGATAGTTGAGATGTGTGTGGGGTGAGTTAGTTGAGATGTGTAAGTGGGGTTAGTTAGTTGAGATGTGTAAGTGGGGGTGCGATAGTTGAGATGTGTGTGGGGCGAGTTAGTTGAGATGTGTGTGGGGTGAGTTAGTTGAGATGTGTAAGTGGGGTTAGTTAGTTGAGATGTGTAAGTGGGGGTGCGATAGTTGAGATGTGTGGGGGTGAGTTAGTTGAGATGTGTAAGTGGGGGTGAGTTAGTTGAGATGTGTGGGGGTGAGTTAGTTGAGATGTGTGTGGGGGTGAGTTAGTTGAGATGTGTGGGGGTGAGTTAGTTGAGATGTGTAAGTGGGGGTGCGATAGTTGAGATGTGTGGGGGTGAGTTAGTTGAGATGTGTTGTGGGGTGAGTTAGTTGAGATGTGTGTGGGGGTGAATTAGTTGAGATGTGTGGGGGTGAGTTAGTTGAGATGTGTAAGTGGGGGTGAGTTAGTTGAGATGTGTGGGGGTGAGTTAGTTGAGATGTGTAAGTGGGGGTGAGTTAGTTGAGATGTGTGGGGGTGAGTTAGTTGAGATGTGTGGGGGTGAGTTAGTTGAGATGTGTGGGGGTGAGTTAGTTGAGATGTGTGGGGGTGAGTTAGTTGAGATGTGTGGGGGTGAGTTAGTTGAGATGTGTTGTGGGGTGAGTTAGTTGAGATGTGTGTGGGGTGAGTTAGTTGAGATGTGTGGGGGTGAGTTAGTTGAGATGTGTAAGTGGGGGTGAGTTAGTTGAGATGTGTGGGGGTGAGTTAGTTGAGATGTGTAAGTGGGGGTGCGATAGTTGAGATGTGTGGGGGTGAGTTAGTTGAGATGTGTAAGTGGGGGTGCGATAGTTGAGATGTGTGGGGGTGAGTTAGTTGAGATGTGTAAGTGGGGGTGAGTTAATTGAGATGTGTAAGTGGGGGTGAGTTAGTTGAGATGTGTAAGTGGGGGTGAGTTGAGATGTTTGGGGGTGAGTTAGTTGAGATATGTGTGTGGGGGTGAGTTAGTTGAGATGTGTGGGGGTAAGTTAGTTGAGATGTGTGTGTGGGGGTGAGTTAGTTGAGATGTGTGTGGGGTGAGTTAGTTGAGATGTGTGTGGGGTGAGTTAGTTGAGATGTGTGTGGGGCGAGTTAGTTGAGATGTGTGTGGGGTGAGTTAGTTGAGATATGTGTGGGGGTGAGTTAGTTGAGATGTGTGGGGGTAAGTTAGTTGAGATGTGTGTGTGGGGGTGAGTTAGTTGAGATGTGTGTGGGGTGAGTTAGTTGAGATGTGTGTGGGGTGAGTTAGTTGAGATGTGTGTGGGGTGAGTTAGTTGAGATGTGTGTGGGGGTGAGTTAGTTGAGATGTGTGTGGGGTGAGTACGTATAGATGTGTGTGTGGGGGTGAGTTAGTTGAGATGTATGGGGAGTGAGTTAGTTGAGATGTGTGTGGAGTGAGTTAGTTGAGATGTGTGTGGGGTGAGTTAGTTGAGATATGTAAGTGGGGCGAGTTAGTTGAGATGTGTGTGGGGGGTGAGTTAGATGAGATGTGTGTGGGGGGTGAGTTAGTTGAGATGTGTAAGTGGGGGTGAGTTAGTTGAGATGTGTGGGGGTGAGTTAGTTGAGATGTGTGGGGGTGAGTTAGTTGAGATGTGTGTGGGGTGAGTTAGTATAGATGTGTGTGTGGGGGTGAGTTAGTTGAGATGTATGGGGAGTGAGTTAGTTGAGATGTGTGTGGGGTGAGTTAGTTGAGATGTGTGTGGGGGTGAGTTAGTTGAGATGTGTGTGGGGTGAGTTAGTATAGATGTGTGTGTGTGGGGGTGAGTTAGTTGAGATGTATGGGGAGTGAGTTAGTTGAGATGTGTGTGGGGGTGAGTTAGTTGAGATGTGTGTGGGGTGAGTTAGTTGAGATATGTAAGTGGGGCGAGTTAGTTGAGATGTGTGTGGGGGGTGAGTTAGATGAGATGTGTGTGGGGGGTGAGTTAGTTGAGATGTGTAAGTGGGGGTGAGTTAGTTGAGATGTTTGTGGGGTGAGTAAGTTGAGATGTGTGTGGGGTGAGTTAGTTGAGATGTGTGTGGGGGGTGAGTTAGTTGAGATGTGTAAGTGGGGGTGAGTTAGTTGAGATGTTTGTGGGGTGAGTAAGTTGAGATGTGTAGTTAAAGCATATTTTGTTCACAGCTTTTCCTGCTGCTATTCTACAACAACCATTTTACAGCAAAGACTATCCCAAGTGAGTACTACAATAAAAAGACTATCTCAAGTAAGTACTACCTACCATGTAAAGACTATCCCAAGTGAGTACTACAATAAAAAGACTATCCCAAGTGAGTACTACAATAAAAAGACTATCCCAAGTAAGTACTACAATAAAAAGACTACCCCAAGTAAGTACTACCTACCATATAAAGATTATCCCAAATGAGTACTACCTATCATATAAAGACTATCCCAAATGAGTACTACCTATCATATAAAGACTATCCCAAATGAGTACTACCTATCATATGATCTCTCGTTTGTATCTCTTTGTGTACTTGATCTTATACAACGGTCAATGAAAACACAGATACCATTACACATTTCGATTGTTTATAACCCATTGCTCAAGACGTTATATACAGAATGCCACCATTTTTCAAAAACATTGATGCTGACAATTATTGTACTATTGGTAGCTGACATGAATGTGTCTTATCTGTATACAATTGTACTATTGGTAGCTGACATGAATGTGTCTTATCTGTATACAATTGTACTATTGGTAGCTGACATGAATGTGTCTTATCTGTATACAATTGTACTATTGGTAGCTGACATGAATGTGTCTTATCTGTATACAATTGTACTATTGGTAGCTGACATGAATGTGTCTTATCTGTATACAATTGTACTATTGGTAGCTGACATGAATGTGTCTTATCTGTATACAATTGTACTATTGGTAGCTGACATGAATGTGTCTTATCTGTATACAATTGTACTATTGGTAGCTGACATGAATGTGTCTTATCTGTATACAATTGTACTATTGGTAGCTGACATGAATGTGTCTTATCTGTATACAATTGTACTATTGGTAGCTGACATGAATGTATCATATCTGTATACAATTGTACTATTGGTAGCTGACATGAATGTGTCTTATCTGTATACAATTGTACTATTGGTAGCTGACATGAATGTGTCTTATCTGTATACAATTGTACTATTGGTAGCTGACATGAATGTGTCATATCTGTATACAATTGTACTATTGGTAGCTGACATGAATGTGTCTTATCTGTATACAATTGTACTATTGGTAGCTGACATGAATGTATCATATCTGTATACAATTGTACTATTGGTAGCTGACATGAATGTGTCTTATCTGTATACAATTGTACTATTGGTAGCTGACATGAATGTGTCATATCTGTATACAATTGTACTATTGGTAGCTGTCATGAATGTGTCATATCTGTATACAATTGTACTATTGGTAGCTGACATGAATGTGTCATATCTGTATACAATTGTACTATTGGTAGCTGACATGAATGTGTCATATCTGTATACAATTGTACTATTGGTAGCTGACATGAATGTGTCATATCTGTATACAATTGTACTATTGGTAGCTGACATGAATGTGTCTTATCTGTATACAATTGAACTTAACGAAACAGGTAGGTACACGAGAGCAGGACACTACCCTACCCCGTCAATGACCCCCCCCCCCCCCGCGGAGCAATTACCCCCTGTCAGTTACCCCCCCGTACAGTTAGGGATAAGGTTAGAGATAGGGTTAAGGTTAGGATTAGGATAAGTTAGGTTAGGTTAGGTTTAGGGAGATATGTAGGTTTAGAATTGGTTTATTATTCATGTTGTGGTCAGAGTTAGCTATTGGTTTGTTGGGATTTTAGGTTACACGGTGTGTAAAGTGATTATTTTTACTGAGCTCTTATATATATATATATATATATATATATATATATATATATATATATATATATATATATGTAACTGGGGTGGGCCTAACCACCAGTTACAAATGATAACGAACGAGAAGCCGCGACGCAGTATGAAATCTGACGCAACCATAACAGGTGGCTTATTGGATCGGTCTGATGACGATCTCAAAGCCAACGCGTGCTATTTTGGGAAACGGTACGAGAAGTTTCAGACGAGCTGTCAACTTTGATGGATGGGACGCAGATGTTTTAGTGAATCGGACGGTACGTCAGAAACTGCGACATTAGTATTCGGATACATCGATTACAAGTATCGATTACGGAAATGGAGACAAGTACGACTACGATTTCAAGGCATAAATAGGAGGGGACGGCAGAACTCGTCCTCTCTCTTCCCGTTTCGAGGCTCTTGCCTCCTTCATCGCTCGCTTAGATCAGTCAGTCTGTGTGACTATGTCAAGTCGGTTATAGAACGGGTTAGCCGTATTGTGTTAAGGAGGATTATAGACATGTGGATTCAGTTATATAAAGCCTAGTGAAGGACTGTTAGGGGTCAGTTGATTCAGACTATTATTGAGAAGCATTCCTGTTGATTTATTGTGTTATTATGAAGCATTTCTTGATTCATGTAATAAAGGATCAATAGCGAACCTGCATCTTGAGTATCTATACTGTGGTCAATGTTGTCTAGAATGAGTGGTTAAACTCGTTAACACGTGGCACTACAGGCAATTAGGTCTCATTACATGTGGCGTTGCGAGCATGGTAACTGTTGGCTCGTTACAATTGGCGTTGTCGGCAGGATAAATGTTCGCTCGTCACAATTGGCGCTGCGATCAGGATGAATTCAACTAGACTTGCCGTTTAAGGCACCTATAGTCAACCTTGTGCATAACTGTGTTTAGTGTGTGTGTGAATTCGGACATTCAGGAACTGTGAAAATTGAGGAACGAGGAAAAATTTTTCATACACACACGGTAAGAAAGAACTCTTTTTTTTAGTACTTAAGGAAGAAAATGTCTACTCTGGACGAGAAGCAGACCCATATAGTGGTCCTACCCAGAGAGTCCCATATTAACAAATTTTACGGGGACGGAGATCCAACTTTAACCAACAGGTTCAGTGAAGAGGTCAAAGCGGCCTGGGCCTCGAGACATATGTCACCAGAGGAAAGATTAAGACTGCTGATGGGCAGTATAGGTGAAACGGTTAGGGCAGAGGTTAAGTGCCACGATAGGACCGTCCAATCAGATCCAGATAAGGTGCTAGATCTGATTATGGAGACCTTTGGGGAGAGACGGTCGGGAGTGCAACTGCTATCGGGATTCGTGGGCTTAAAGCAGAGAATGGCGGAGAGTGTGATGGAGTACTCACACCGGATGAACAGGGCCTTTGATTTGGTAAAGGGCAAATCACCGGACATTGATGTACGCCTACTGAGGGACCATTTCATCGAGGGGCTAGCAACCCCGATCTTAAGGAGAGAGTTGAAAGAGGAGGTCCACAGAGACCAGCAGTTGACCTTCCTTCAGGTCAGGAACTCAGCGATCCGCAGGTCCGAGGATGAGGACCAATCGAACTGTTCGGTGGACAAAGTCTCTGTGCCTGAACAGAGACAATCCCCACCCACAGGGGCCGACACGATGGAGACCATGATGGCTCAACTGTTGGCCCACCTAGAGAAGGTTGACCAACGCTTGAAGTGGTTGGAAAGCAGGTCAACAGCTGAGAATCAGGAAAAGAACGGTACAAAACAGGGACGGGCTGGACGGCCGCGTCCTGCCAAGCCATCACTCCAATGGACGGCAGACGGTCGACCCATTTGCTTGTCCTGTTCACAACCCGGACATATGGCACGGTACTGTCCGGTGAAACGATCGCCCTCTGTAAGGCAGGTCAAGGCTACAGAGCGGCGAGGTTATGGCGTAAGAAACAAAAGGAAACAAACAATGAAAGAGTCTCAAACAAGACTCGAAGGGCAATTATCAGATAGTGGAAAAATGAACTGTGAAATGAACTTGAATGTTGAAAAGTTTCAAGTGAACAATTTGTTGGCTAAGAAAAATGATGATAAGAAGAAAATTGGTAGACTTAATAAAGGAATTCAAAGTCTAACCAGGAAACTGGATAGGAAAAGTTCATGCAAATTAAAAGCACAGGAGAAATGTTCATCTTTAGAGCGTCTGTTATCGGAAGAAGTAAATAAAAATAGTAGACAACAGAACAGTGTTGGCAAACTAGAAAAATTATCAGATATTGAAAAAGAACTTCAAATTACAGCAAGGCTGGGATCCATCGAACAGCGATGGGCAGCAGATTTGGCACTCGTTGACCTAGAGAGAAAACATCGCCCGGGGCGGTCCAATGGCAATGCGGACGCCTTATCAAGGAATCCTTACGAGAGACCGGGTGATGAGGAGGAAACACTGACAGGAATATGTGAGGTCAGAGCGTCAACAGATATCCCTCATGGGGTACAAGTGATGCAAAACGGGCAGACCGGGGTGGAGCACATATCCACAGAGCCCGGACATATGGACAGTAGTGATTTTAATTGCCTTAATCACAAAAAGATAAGAGATGCCCAGAGAACGGATACTGGCTTACAACCGCTATTGAAACACGTCCAGGAACAAAAATTCCCAGGAAGAAGGGAAAGAGAACAATTTGGTCGAGAAACAAAGAAAATACTGAGTCAGTGGAACCGTCTCAGTATAAAGGATGGTGTTCTCATGCGGAGAATTCATGACCAAATTGATGGCACAATACACCAGGTGGTGGTGCCGGGACAGTTAAGAGAAGAAGTGCTAAGGTTGGCACATGACAGGGCAGGACACCAGGGTCAGGACAGGACGCACAAAATATTACGACGGAGGTGTTACTGGCCCAATATGGAAATGGAGGTCAAACGCCATTGTGAGGCTTGTGTGAGGTGTCAGCATGCGAAAATGCCAGTTGTCAAAATGAGACAGCCATCAGGACACCTACTAGCGACAAAACCACTAGAGATTGTGGCGATGGACTTTACGTCGTTGGAGCAATCATCGGATGGGACGGAACATGTGTTGGTAATGACTGATGTATTCACCAAATGGACTGTGGCGGTGCCCACACGAGATCAGACTGCCAAAACAGTGGCAAAGGTCTTATTAGAACATTGGTTCATCAAATATGGCATACCAAGACAATTACACTCTGACCAAGGAAGGGCTTTCGAGTCAGAAGTAATTAACCAACTGTGCAGCCACTACGGGATCAACAAATCTAGAACAACCACATTTAATCCGAAGGGAAACGGACAGTGTGAACGGTTCAACCGCAGCATGCATGATTTGCTGCGTACGCTAGAACCTGAACAGAAAAAACGTTGGCCTGATTTTCTCCCAGAGTTGGTATATCTATACAACTGCACACCCCATGCCACAACCGGCTTTACGCCATACATGTTGCTGTTCGGACGAGAGGCTCGACTCCCTCTTGATTTGTCCCTAGGAAAAAGGGAGAGTATGACTGGCTCATACACCGCACTGGAATATGTGAATGAACATATGAGAAGAATTAGAGAAATGTACAGGGTAGTACAGGAAAGACTAGAACATGAAGCACGGCGAAGGGAACCGCCGGTACAGACAAAGGACCCGCCACTCAAACTGAATGACAGGGTATTACTGCGTAGCCACCCGTTAGGCAGAAACAAAATCCACGATCTCTGGGGACAGGAGATATGGCAAGTCGTGGAGATGCCTAAAGCAGCAGGTGGCCCCTTTAAGATAAGACCCATCGATCACGCCAAACCGGATCGGTGGGCGAATATTGCTCAATTAAAGAAATATTGGAATAGGCAAGAAGAGCAGTTACACACAGAGAAACCCAAGACAATTAGGGAACCGGAAGTTATAACGGAAAGTCACATACCCATTCCGGAACCATATCACCATCAACAGAACAACCGCGATACGCAAGGGGAGGATACCGGCAACAATGAGGATCCCGGTCCCTCCAGAAGCAGAGAGACAGTAGACCATCAGATAAGTGGTCCGCGGAGAAGTTTAAGGAACAGAAGGAATACGAAATTTTTTGTCAGCAACCATCAATTCTTTCATGGTCGCGCTGGTATGAAAACAGACTGTTCAAAGAGCTATAGAAGTGAACTGGTGAAGGCACCAAATGGAAAGGGTGGATGTGAATTCTAGAACTGTTTTGTGTCTCAGGAAGATGATGTAGACACAGTTGATATGTGAAATAGGTATAACTGTCAATCGTATACGAATGGAACGTCGTGGACAGTGAGTGGAACAATAAATTTTTTTTTACGATGATGCGATGGACATTTAGGAAGTGCACCTGCCAGGCGTTGTTTGTGGTTGAAAACACACAAAAAAAGCAGGGGTGGATGTAACTGGGGTGGGCCTAACCACCAGTTACAAATGATAACGAACGAGAAGCCGCGACGCAGTATGAAATCTGACGCAACCATAACAGGTGGCTTATTGGATCGGTCTGATGACGATCTCAAAGCCAACGCGTGCTATTTTGGGAAACGGTACGAGAAGTTTCAGACGAGCTGTCAACTTTGATGGATGGGACGCAGATGTTTTAGTGAATCGGACGGTACGTCAGAAACTGCGACATTAGTATTCGGATACATCGATTACAAGTATCGATTACGGAAATGGAGACAAGTACGACTACGATTTCAAGGCATAAATAGGAGGGGACGGCAGAACTCGTCCTCTCTCTTCCCGTTTCGAGGCTCTTGCCTCCTTCATCGCTCGCTTAGATCAGTCAGTCTGTGTGACTATGTCAAGTCGGTTATAGAACGGGTTAGCCGTATTGTGTTAAGGAGGATTATAGACATGTGGATTCAGTTATATAAAGCCTAGTGAAGGACTGTTAGGGGTCAGTTGATTCAGACTATTATTGAGAAGCATTCCTGTTGATTTATTGTGTTATTATGAAGCATTTCTTGATTCATGTAATAAAGGATCAATAGCGAACCTGCATCTTGAGTATCTATACTGTGGTCAATGTTGTCTAGAATGAGTGGTTAAACTCGTTAACACGTGGCACTACAGGCAATTAGGTCTCATTACATGTGGCGTTGCGAGCATGGTAACTGTTGGCTCGTTACAATTGGCGTTGTCGGCAGGATAAATGTTCGCTCGTCACATATATATATATATATATATATATATATATATATATACATTCATGCGAATAATTATATCTGTATCATTTTAGGAGCCTAAACTACGGTGGTATTGGCATGGTTATAGGGCATGAAATGACTCATGGATTCGATGATAGGGGTCGCCAGTATGATAAAAATGGAATTCTCGTGCAATGGTGGGATGATGAAGTTATACGGAGATTTAAGGTTGATACAATTTCTCCAGCATTTCATTAGATTTATTTAGGTTTTCATACAATGTTTCTAGTTCATGTTTGTGAAGATCACAGTACATCACTTTCAAAGTAATTGTTTAGTATAAAACGAATACAGTATTAGTCTGATAGAAAATAAGCCAAACATGTTGCTACAATCTTAGGAGCGAGCACAGTGTATTATCGACCAGTACAACAACTACAGCGTCCCTGAGGTTAAGATGAACGTCAATGGCATTCAAACACAGGGGGAGAACATTGCTGACAATGGGGGACTAAAGGAGGCCTATAAGGTTCTCATCTTCAATTCTTTTGCTCTTTAGAGTAGTTTGTCATAACGTGTGTTGTAGAATTATCAGGTTTTATGCAGTAGAATTGTTGATGTTTATGCAGTATAATTGTTGATGTTTGATGCAGTAGAATTGTATATGCTTTGTGCAGTAAAATTGCTGATGTTTTATGCAGTAGAATAGTTGATGTTTTATGCAGTAGAATTATTGATGTTTTATGCAGTAGAATTGTATATGCTTTGTGCAGTAGAATTACTCATGTTTTGTGCAGTAGCATTGTTGATGTTTTATGCAGTAGAATTGTTGATGCTTTGTGCAGTAGAATTGTTGATGTTTTATGCAGTAGAATTGTTGATGTTTTGTGCAGTAGAATTGTTGATGTTTTATGCAGTAGAATTGTTGATGCTTTGTGCAGTAGAATTGTTGATGTTTTATGCAGTAGAATTGTTAATGTTTTGTGCAGTAGAATTGTTGATGTTTTATGCAGTAGAATTGTTGATGTTTTGTGCAGTAGAATTGTTGATGTTTTGTGCAGTAGAATTGTTGATGTTTTATGCAGTAGAATTGTTGATGTTTTGTGCAGTAGAATTGTTGATGTTTTGTGCAGTAGAATTGTCTTCAGTAGAATTGTTGATGTTTTGTGCAGTAGAATTGTTGATGTTTTATGTAGTAGAATTGTTGATGCTTTGTGCAGTAGAATTGTTGATGTTTTATGCAGTAGAATTGTTGATGTTTTGTGCAGTAGAATTGTTGATGTTTTGTGCAGTAGAATTTTTTATGTTTTGTGCATTAGAATTGTTGTTGCTTTGTGCAGTAGAATTGTTCATATTTTGTCTCCTTCATGTTATCTTTATGTATCTGTTATGCCCAAACTGTTAACAATTAGTTATCAAAAAACTTTGGTTTGACCAAACATTTCAGGCCTTCAGAAACTCACGTGGACATCTAGAGCAAAGATTACCTGGCCTGCTTGAATATTCGAATGATCAGCTCTTTTTCATCAACTTTGCTCAGGTATTCAATTTCACAGTCCGCATTCGGTGCATGCGTGACGATTTAAAAAAAAATAAAAAAAATAATTTAATAAAGTTTTGAAATGCAAAAGAAAACAGAACACAGAACACATGAGATTACAACACAAAATATCACACTATACACAACAAATACAACACACAACAGCACTTAACACAACACAACCGATTTTCTAATCCATTAAAAGTACATTTTATTTTCTTTATGAAATTTAATAAACTATAAAAGTGGGTGAAATAATTACACTATTTATTACACTATCGCATATTACATTTTTCATTTTCTAGTATAATAAAAGATTAAATTTCAATATAATATATAGAAAAGCTGTTTGCGATTGATGTCACAAAATATCTACGTCTGTGTCAAACGTTAATCTAATCTAGTATAATATTATAAGCTATATTTTTAAATATCTATGACTGTGTCAAACATTAATCTAGTATGATATTATAAGCTATATTTTTAAATATCTATGACTGTGTCAAACGTTAATCTAGTATGATATTATAAGCTATATTTTTAAATATCTATGACTGTGTCAAACATTAATCTAGTATAATATTATAAGCCATATTTTTAAATATCTATGACTGTGTCAAACGTTAATCTAGTATAATATTATAAGCTATATTTTTAAATATCTATGACTGTGTCAAACGTTAATCTAGTATAACATTATAAGCTATATTTTTAAATATCTATGTCTGTGTCAAACATTAATCTAGTATGACATTATAAGCTATATTTTTAAATATCTATGACTGTGTCAAACGTTAATCTAGTATGATATTATAAGCTATATTTTTAAATATCTATGACTGTGTCAAACGTTAATCTAGTATGATATTATAAGCTATATTTTTTAAATATCTATGACTGTTTCAAACGTTAATCTAGTATGATATTATAAGCTATATTTTTAAATATCTATGACTGTGTCAAACGTTAATCTAGTATGATATTATAAGCTATATTTTTAAATATCTATGACTGTGTCAAACGTTAATCTAGTATGATATTATAAGCTATATTTTTAAATATCTATGACTGTGTCAAACATTAAACTAGTATGATATTATAAGCTATATTTTTAAATATCTATGTCTGTGTCAAACATTAATCTAGTATAATACTATAAGCTATATTTTTAAATATCTATGACTGTGTCAAACATTAATCTAGTATGATATTATAAGCTATATTTTTAAATATCTATGACTGTGTCAAACGTTAATCTAGTATGATATTATAAGCTTTATTTTTAAATATCTATGACTGTGTCAAACGTTAATCTAGTATGATATTATAAGCTATATTTTTAAATATCTATGACTGTGTCAAACGTTAATCTAGTATGATATTATAAGCTATATTTTTCAACGTGACCGAAACCAGATTGCAGATATGTGCACATTCTAAAATACTTCCGTTTGACATCATAGGGGCTAGATCACATTATTGTACCCACATAACGCTCATTTCAAAAATAATTTTATGAGAGCGTCAATAGTTTCAAGGGCTATAGTTTCTGATAACAAAGAAAATTGTTATTATTCTTTTTTTTTTTCCGCCAACTGCTTTTATAGCAATTTTACGGTTCCGAGTATATTTTCCCTCCTAAAAATAACGAAGAAGAACAAATAAAAAAGTAGTTTTTCCATATTTATTTTAAAAGCTCGAGGGTCCCTGGACCGCGGGGCCCCTACGTCTAGGGGCCCCGTTGGTTACATGTTTGTTACAAGTGTCACATTAAACCATACATTGTTTTGAGAACATTTGAGAGTTACACATAAGGACCACATTGAAACCAATTGTTTTGAGAACATTTGAGAGTTACACATAAGGACCACATTGAAACCAATTGTTTTGAGAACATTTGAGAGTTACACATAAGGACCACATTGAAACCAATTGTTTTGAGAACATTTGAGAGTTACACATAAGGACCACATTGAAACCAATTGTTTTGAGAACATTTGAGAGTTACACATAAGGACCACAATGAAACCAATTGTTTTGAGAACATTTGAGAGAGCTACACATAAGGACCACATTGAAACCAATTGTTTTGAGAACATTTGAGAGAGCTACACATAAGGACCACATTGAAACCAATTGTTTTGAGAACATTTGAGAGAGCTACACATAAGGACCACATTGAAACCAATTGTTTTGAGAACATTTGAGAGAGCTACACATAAGGACCACATTGAAACCAATTGTTTTGAGAACATTTGAGAGAGCTACACATAAGGACCACATTGAAACCAATTGTTTTGAGAACATTTGAGAGAGCTACACATAAGGACCACATTGACCAATATTAATTTTCTTAGGATGTAGTCGGCCTCACAACGTGAATGTTCAATACAATGAAATATTGATTTGGATTTAATTCAAGCTTTCTATTGAATGCACAGTGACGCGTGTGGTCCATGCGTGTAACTCTAGTAGAAGGTATGAGAACACAAGGTCGAGTCATGAGCTTGACATTACAAATAAAGATGACACAGAATATAAAAACTGTATTGCTTCAATTTGTATATAGGCAATGCGCGGTGTTTAGATCATGTTATTTTGATGTGAAGAGCGCGATTCAAAACCATTTCAAAAAACAATTTATTGTGATTAGTTAAGCACATTCAAGTAGGCTACTCCGTGTTGTAAATCTCAAATGATTTTTATTTTTACCGCACTAGTTTTTGGAATTTGAGAGAGAGAAACAGACAGGCATATATTATAATATACACGTGTATGTGCGTAAAATTATGTGTTACCACGACTGGTGACGCCCGACCTAATGACGTCACGCAAAGATCCCGCCAGAGATATCATGTGAACTAATTAAACTAGACCCCCTTAAGTCAACTTGTGAAGTACTTGTACTAGCTTTGTTCTCTCCCTTTAGGTATGGTGTGATGTTATGAGCTTTGTTCTCTCCCTTTAGGTATGGTGTGGTGTTATGAGCTTTGTTCTCTCCCTTTAGGTATGGTGTTATGAGCTTTGTTCTCTCCCTTTAGGTATGGTGTTATGAGCTTTGTTCTCTCCCTTTACGTATGGTGTGATGTTATGAGCTTTATTCTCTCCCTTTAGGTATGGTGTTATGAGCTTTATTCTCTCCCTTTAGGTATGGTGTTATGAGCTTTGTTCTCTCCCTTTAGGTATGGTGTGATGTTATGAGCTTTGTTCTCTCCCTTTAGGTATGGTGTTATGAGCTTTATTCTCTCCCTTTAGGTATGGTGTTATGAGCTTTGTTCTCTCCCTTTAGGTATGGTGTGATGTTATGAGCTTTGTTCTCTCCCTTTAGGTATGGTGTGATGTTATGAGCTTTGTTCTCTCCCTTTAGGTATGGTGTGGTCTTATGAGCTTTGTTCTCTCCCTTTTGGTATGGTGTTATGAGCTTTGTTCTCTCCCTTTAGGTATGGTATGGTGTTATGAGCTTTGTTCTCTCCCTTTAGGTATGGTATGGTGTTATGAGCTTTGTTCTCTCCCTTTAGGTATGGTGTGGTGTTATGAGCTTTGTTCTCTCCCTTTAGGTATGGTGTTATGAGCTTTGTTCTCTCCCTTTATGTATGGTGTGGTGTTAAGAGCTTTGTTTTCTCCCTTTAGGTATGGTGTGGTGTTATGAGCTTTGTTCTCTCCCTTTAGGTATGGTGTGGTGTTATGAGCTTTGTTCTCTCCCTTTAGGTATGGTGTTATGAGCTTTGTTCTCTCCCTTTAGGTATGGTGTGGTGTTATGAGCTTTGTTCTCTCCCTTTAGGTATGGTGTTATGAGCTTTGTTCTCTCCCTTTAGGTATGGTGTTATGAGCTTTGTTCTCTCCCTTTAGGTATGGTGTTATGAGCTTTATTCTCTCCCTTTAGGTATGGTGTTATGAGCTTTGTTCTCTCCTTTTAGGTATGGTGTGATCTTATGAGCTTTGTTCTCTCCCTTTAAGTATGGTGTGATGTTATAAGCTTTGTTCTCTTCCTTTAGGTATGGTGTGGTGTTATGAGCTCTGTTCTCTCCCTTTAGGTATGGTGTTATGAGCTCTGCTCTCTCCCTTTAGGTATGGTGTTATGAGCTTTGTTCTCTCCCTTTAGGTATGGTGTTATGAGCTTTGTTCTCTCCCTTTAGGTATGGTGTTATGAGCTTTGTTCTCTCCCTTTAGGTATGGTGTGGTGTTATGAGCTTTGTTCTCTCCCTTTAGGTATGGTGTTATGAGCTTTGTTCTCTCCCTTTAGGTATGGTGTTATGAGCTTTGTTCTCTCCCTTTAGGTATGGTGTTATGAGCTTTGTTCTCTCCCTTTAGGTATGGTGTTATGAGCTTTGTTCTCTCCCTTTAGGTATGGTGTGGTCTTATGAGCTTTGTTCTCTCCCTTTAGGTATGGTGTGGTGTTATGAGCTTTGTTCTCTCCCTTTAGGTATGGTGTTATGAGCTTTGTTCTCTCCCTTTAGGTATGGTGTTATGAGCTTTGTTCTCTCCCTTTAGGTATGGTGTGATGTTATGAGCTTTATTCTCTCCCTATAGGTATGGTGTGGTGTTATGAGCTTTGTTCTCTCCCTTTAGGTATGGTGTGGTGTTATGAGCTTTGTTCTCTCCCTTTAGGTATGGTGTTATGAGCTTTGTTCTCTCCCTTTAGGTATGGTGTTATGAGCTTTGTTCTCTCCCTTTAGGTATGGTGTTATGAGCTTTGTTCTCTCCCTTTAGGTATGGTGTTATGAGCTTTGTTCTCTCCCTTTAGGTATTGTGTAAAGAGCTTTATTCTCTCCCTTTAGGTATGGTGTTATGAGCTTTGTTCTCTCCTTTTAGGTATGGTGTGATCTTATGAGCTTTGTTCTCTCCCTTTAGGTATGGTGTGATGTTATGAGCTCTGTTCTCTCCCTTTAGGTATGGTGTTATGAGCTCTGCTCTCTCCCTTTAGGTATGGTGTTATGAGCTTTGTTCTCTCCCTTTAGGTATGGTGTTATGAGCTTTGTTCTCTCCCTTTAGGTATGGTG